TATGGTGTGCCCCATTGTACTTTAGATGCTTTTGAAAGTCAATGAAATGCTTGTCACGAATGTTATTAGAATGGTGACAATGGGCTATCGTCACCGCTTCATGTGTAACAATGTCCAAATTTGTAACTGTACTGTGACTGAAGCTTTTACTCACCAAAAAAGTGACTAAACATGCCAATAGTCAGTCACCAATAAAAAAAAGTAACAACTGTTGATATTTTTGGTAGTGTTGTATACAATTCATATTGCAATATTCATTAATTCTCTAAAATAGGATTATTGAAATGTTGAGGATTTATACGACAGACGGAAATTGGCGAAGAAAAAAAGTTCATATCCTTAATTTTCTAAAAAAAAGGATATGAAATCAATTGAAAGTTAAGTACAAATTCCGGGAGCTAATCACCAGTTTAGCCTCAAAATAAACAATTTTAAACACATGAGTACAAACAATTAAAGCAACAAGAGCGCTTAAATTTTGTGCAGACCATCCCATTTTAACTTTTCCTTCATAAATTCTACCAATTCCTTGCACTCTTCAATAGCTCTTGCGTCCACGCCGTTCCTCACTAACGGTGGAAAGAACAGCCAAGTCGCGGTCACCACCACAAACACGATGGTCAATGGCGTTGACACAATCCAATGCAGCTGCCACCTTCCACCACTTAACGCTCTCTTCACACCAAACTCCACCACCAAACACATCCCATGGAGAACAAAATACCACGTCACTTCCCACGTGGGAGGCACACGTGTCATGAAGAAAAATATGAGCTCGTGCATCAGACCGGATACTAAAAAGGCTGCCAAGACGGCCGGCAGCGGGGCCCACTTAGGCCCCAAGAAGGTCTCCATAGCCGACCGCATGGGCTTATGTACGGTGTGACGCAGTGTATTTGTTACCATGAGGTTCCACCTCCGGCCCCAGAAATCTTGTAGCGAAGTTGAAAGGTAAGGCTCATTGGACGGTGATTCGAGTTGCATGCCAAGAAGGGCTCGCATGGTAGCATTGCTCAAGCCTACTATTATGTCCACAAAAAGATACAACATGCAGCAATACTGGGCTAATAAAATGTTGGGGTGCACATATTTTGTGAAGTCAGTTAGAGCAACCAATATGCCAAAAAGCAAGACTTTGGTTGGCAAATTGAGAGGCAATTTAGGGTTTTGAGGTGTCTTGTGGTTTGGAGCAATTTGGTGGTGGTGTTGTCCATCTTGCTTTGCCTTGATTGGGAGACAAGTGGTGAAGATGAAGAGGAGGAGGGAGTTTAGTGGTGGGCCAGATGAAAGTGGGCCCAGACCAAAGGAGAACAGGAGGAGCTTGAAGCTACCAAGCCAGGTGATGAACAAGGCAATAACTCCAGCAGGGAGGGCAGTGGAGAGAGAGAGAGGGAGGATG